GGGTAATGCAGGATTTGTATCATCAACCGCATGGTTTAGGGTTTAGGGTGTAGCTCTACAAATTACGGTTCCTTTAAGGGTCCATCTTTCGTAATTATGCCGTACTGGTTTTGGAACCTAGAAAGGGACCCTCATTCAGAGAACTACCCACGTTGGGTTCGATAGCACCGAACAACCCCTTCATCTTTGACGCATCGACGCCGTCTCAGGAGGTTGCTGTCACTGTAGCAGGCTTGGGAGTTCGAAGGCTTAGAGTTGTAGGGTTTAGGGATGAGCCGGGTCAGCAAGAGATCCGGAATCTGCCAGCCTTTTCCAACTTCCAAACGTCCTGGATCCCTAGAAGATGGAGACTACCTGGCTATATAAGGGGTATATAAGGACTACACAATGGTTATTTACCGTAATGGGATTAAGGGTCCCTATTAGGGGTCCCTCCTAAAGTCCTTAGGTGTTTAGGGAGTCGAAACTCTTTACCCTAAGACCCTAAACCAGGCATCACCACCCTTACGAAACCACGGTAAACCCCTTGTAGAGCCCTTCGAACACCCTGACGAACTTACACAACCCAAAACGCGAACCCTTACAATGCTAATGAACCTAATTAGACTCTCCATCCACCCTCTATCCGACCCCAAATACCCATTATCTGGGAGCATATACCCCTACTTGAGGGCACAAGGAGGCTCCCAAAAGACAAGACACAGACCTGGCCTTACTCCAGCACCCGCAAGTGTCGCAGGCAAGAATGCAAGTGTCGCAGAGGATCTCGCTGGGTCCATCCTGCTGGCTTTTGCAACTACCTGGGACTACCAGAACCTACTTTTGTTGTGGGGGCCCTAGAGTTTCTAGATGGAGGAGGTCTATTGTAAGAACCTTAAAAAAGTAGGTTATGGTAGTTTACGGTAGGGTTTGGGGGGGTATCGGGTTTAGGACTTTAGGATACCTTTGAGGGTTCTGTAAGCGTTCTGTCTCAAGAGGCTTTTAACAGGAAAATTTAGAGGTTGTAGTTCGGATTTAGAACGACCCGACTTAAAGGTACTTATAGTCACACCTATATAACCCTACTTGCTAGGTCCCTTCACCCCCTGAAGATCCTCAACCCTAAACCCTAAGTAAGGAGATGGCTCTGGTCGGGGCCTTGTAGAAGCCCTTTACAGGTGGGTA